TGCTACCACTAACTTCTCGTAGCTTTCCCTTGGCCATGAGGTTGTTTATTAGCATTTGGATTTGGCTGACGCCATCGGAGGCTGGGGGTGGGAATGTGTTGGTGTTTCCATTGTGCGGGACTGACTAGCGTAGGGTAGTGGGCTAAAGGCTGGGCGGTCAGGCAGTTAGGTAGCGCTGACAGTACTTGGTCTTTTAAGTCAAGCCATTTTAGCTCCCCCATGCCAAGCAAGTTCTGGCCTCCTACCAGGGCTTTGACTCGGTGCACCCTTCCATTATGAGTGATTTTAATTTCTACAAGCTCCGCCTCGAACCCACAGCTTCCTCCCTAGTTTTTTATGCAGTGTTGAGGGGGTGACTATGGATACTTGTGTGCTGGTGTCTAGTAAGAACTTTACCAGATTCCGTTGGTGTCTGTAGGGCCGGTGTCAGGTTGAGGGGGTGCCTTGCAGGACTCCAACTATAAGGGTGGCAAATGGCCTTAGATTGTCATCCGGGGTGGCCGCCTGATGGTATGCGGCCGCTACTCATTTTTTGGCTGGGTGTTCAGGAGTTTGCTTTTGTTGCCCCATGGCTTGAAGCCCTTTGCTTTTGCTAAGAAGAGTTGTTCGGAGGTTGAGAGTCGCCTAACCTCCTCTTTGGTAAGCCCGCTGTTAAGCAGGAAACCAAACACGACCCTTTCCTGGGGGGTGCATTCGGGGTACGTTTTTTTCCCTTGGGGCTGGGGGTGGGGTCCTGAAGTTACCGCGGCTACCACTCCCACCGATGGCTTGGGTTGATGGGTCGGAATGTGGATCTTATCTATTACGGTGTACAATAAATAAATAAATAAATATCTCTTATTTTCTAAAACAGTCCATATGGTTCTGTCCTTCCCCCCTTGGGTATGCATCATCGGGCCTGTGGTTCTCGTGACAATCAGCATCTTCACTATCAAGCAACCTTTTTTCGATTGATTTTTTCAAGGTTCTGTAAAAAGCTTCCGGATCAATTGAAGGATAATTTTTGCAATCTTTCTTATGAAGTGAAACTCCCTGAAAGCAGAGATTTTCAACAGATTTGGTGGCACTTTCATATTATGGGCCTGGGATCATTTGTCTTTCTTGAAAAATTTGTACTACTGCTTTTATCTTTTGATCTGCCCTGTATAGGTCCACGTCGCACTCTTGAAAGTCCAAGCTCAATTCAGACAACTCTTGAAGAGCATCATCACACATCAATCCTAAATCCCCTTTTGGGGACTTTGGGTACTGTAAATGCCCTAAGAGAAGGGTCCAGAATGAGACACGGGCCCGTAGGAGGGTGCCGTAACCCCCATTATGGACGTACCCCCTGACAAGGACATAAAGCTTATCAATAATCACTTGAAATCTGTTGATACTTGAAACTGATTTTACTGTGTCACCAACCGACAGCTCTAATCTGTGATTAGCGCACAGAAACTAATGTCCTTCATTAGTTTCATTACTCCACTTCTATTCCCCAATATCACGGTTGCACCATCACGGCGGCACCATCACATGCGACACAAACTAAATAAGTTTTTAAGTCCTCTTCTGTCAGTCCATATGACTGAAGACAGCCAAGCAAAGAATCAAAAATGACTTTTGCCGTAACACTTCGGAGTTCGATGAAGTCCAAAAATAAGTTTACCGTAGTGTTTGTTCCACTATCCGCGACACAAATTCGAACATACATAATTGGGGGTCAATTTTTTACTCAGAGTAGTAGACTTGTTAATCATCAATGAAATTTTGCTTTTCGACCTAGCAATTTCGTTAGCCAAATTTTTTCTCATTTCATCACTAATGTGATTCACGATGTTAATACACACGTTGTTGAGTGAAGAATACGGCCCATGTCAATTCTTCTTAGTTCTTGTAAATCAATTTCAGATTCAAAATTATGAAATGATTGGTTTTCTTTTGCCACCTTATATGCTGTGCAAATTTTTTTTGCAGTACAGACAGTCCCCGGGTTACATGGATCCGACTTACATCGGATCCCTACTTACAAACGGGGTGAGGCAACCCCGCACTAGCTGCTTCCCCCCAGCAGACCAGGGAGACGCGAAGCTAGCGCCCCCTCCCCAGCAGACCAGGGAGACGCGGAGCGGCTTTTCTCGGCAGATACCTCAGCTTGAGAATAAAGGACTGAGGGAAGTGAGGTGTGGGAGAATAAAACTGAGCTCTGGAGAAATGTTTTGCTAGAGTTTCCCCTACAATATGTACCAGTTCCGACTTACATACAAATTCAACTTAAGAACAAACCTACAGTCCCTATCTTGTACGTAACCCGGGGACTGCCTGTAATCACTTTTTTGAGAGATAAAGCCTTTAAACACACATTCTCAAGGGTCTCTTTCTCAACTTCTGCAAGCAATTTTAACGCAGCTTTATGCCCTGTGGTTTCCTTGTGATCGAAAAGTTTATTTCTTAAAGACATAAGCTGTTCCTGTTGATTTTCGCCAAAATAGGTTATTTCATTGTTTGCTCATTCTTTAGAAATTTTCATTCCTGCCTTCTTTTCTACTCCAAGAGTTCCAATTTTTTGACAGGGCGTACAGCCAAGTTTCTTATTTCAAAAATTTAGCCAATCGTACTTCATGCAAAAGTCATTTTTTTGATCCATAGTCCAGCACGTAGGCCACTCGCTGTCAGTTTGCTCTTGGACACTCATTGAACCAGGAACAGAAATGGTCACTGACTCAATTAATTCTTTTCTTCACTCACTTCCTCACTTGTTCTGGCTTACTTATTCACGGAAGGTGAAAAGAAACTTGTAATCCTTTTCATTTTTACATTGGGGTTCAAGACACAGAGAACTAAAACATACATGTGTACTCACACTGGTGTTCACGTTGGAAATCACATGACATGCCTATATCATGTGCAGAGGAAAGCTGTGCAGTGCAAGCTGCTCCCAGGCCGTGGGGCTGTGCCAGGGGAAGTGGAGAAAACTGCTCCCGGGACTGACGGGGGCTGTGCTGGGAGAAGTAGTGATGGCAGTGGGAGAGCTCCCCCCAAACGGTGACAGTACGCCATACTGGCGCATCACAGAAAAAGCGCTGCAAATCCCTAATCATTTGTGGTGCCCTTTTCTGAACCTTTTCCAATGCCAATATTTCTTTCTTGAGGTGAGGTCACCACATCTGTACGCAGTATTCAAGATGTCGGTGTATCATAGTTTTATACAGAGGCAATAAGATATTTTCTGTCTTATTCTCTATCCCTTTTTAAATGGTTCCTAGTTTGCTTTTTTGACTACTGCTGCACATTGAGTGGATGTTTTCAGAGAACTATCCACAATGACTCCAAGAGTATGTCTACACTACACTGTTATTTCAAAATATCTTATTTTGAAATAGTTAATTTGAAATAAGTTTTTTCAAAATAACACATCTACACACAAAATGCATTTCAAAATAGCATTTTGCTATTTTGAAATAGTGCATCCACACTGACTGGACACTGAATTGCATTGAAGGCAGGCCAGAACCAGGTCCAGCAGGGCATCAGGTCAGGAGTTTATTTGTGTGACTGCTGCCCGAGGCTATCTGAGGCTTCTGCTTAAAGGTATCCCCACCCCTGGCAGCCGGTTCTCAGCTTTCCCTGCTTGCTTGCCTACCTCGATGAAGGACAGCAAAGCATTTGTGTCTCTGCATCCTCTGGTTGCCCTCAGTCGGGACACGCAGCAGTCTGCAACATGGAATTGGAGCTGCCCCTGAGCACACTGGTGCTTCTCGTGCATGCGCTGATGTGAGCCTGGCTGCACTTTCTGCAGGCTGCCATCCAAGAGGTCCATTGGGGGGCTGTCAGTATCCAGGAGGCCCTGCAGGAAAGCTTCCAACCTGAGGAGCACTAAGAGCCTCCCTGGTCTGCCCCAGTGGGGGCTTGTGCTTCATTCCTCCTCCACATTGTTCCACTTACCCTCCCAGCCCCCCTTCCAGATGTCAAATAAAATACACGTATTTTCATGAACACAAACTCTCTGTATTTAACAAAACTGGGAGGGAGGGGATGAAACTGGTGAGACTGGAGAAAGGAGGTGGGAGAGGGGAGGAAAGAGGGTAGGAGAGGGGAGGGGGAAACCTGGGAGGAGGGAGCTGGAAGGGGGAAGCAAGGGGAAGAAGGGGGAGGGGAAGCTCAGGACTCAAGGTTGGGGGTCTTGCCAGACCAACTTGATTTTCATGAGAACCTGCTCCTAGGTTCGCATGTGGCCTTTGGTGGCCAGGCTGGCAGCTATCCTGCCATAGATGGCCGCGTTCCTCCATCTAGTGCAGAGATCATGGACATTGGGGGCATACCCTCCAAACCTAAGTAAGATCCACCCTGATCTCTACCCTGGACCAAGAAGGCCCTGGCAGGTTCCTGGGAGCTGGCAGACTGCTCCTGTGGAGCAGTGGAGGGCTGGCTGCCAGTGGATTGCTGGCTCATGTTTTGGGGCCACTGGGTCAGGAGTAGTGACTGTTGGCTCTGGGCCGGCAGGCTTGGAGCTGGCACAGGCACTGTGGCCAGTGTCAAACCCTTTAAGGAGTCCGGGGTGAGAGAGGAGTGTTCTTGTGTGAGGCTAGAGTGGCCACCAGAGCACCCTGGGAAGGCTGGAGGCCTCCTATTTCGAAATAAGTGTCTACTTATCCTCGTAGAATGAGGTTTACCAAATTCGAAATAAGTGCTCCACTATTTCGAATTTATTTCGAAATAGCAGTTTGGCTGTGTAGACACTAGTAAAGTTAATTTGAAAAAATGGCTGTTATTTCAAATTAACTTTCATGTGTAGACATACTCCGAGATCTCTCTCTTGAGTGATAATAGCTAAATTATTTCCCATTATTTTGTATGCGTAGTTGGGATTATTTTTTCCAATGTGCATTATTTGGCATTTATCAAAGCTAAAAGAGAAGTGGTTAGGAATCTCAACAAAGTGGAATTGATTCCAGAGCTCTAACTGTGAAACCTCAAAGGCTCACAAAATCGAGGAAAGTCCAACAGGGAATAGTTACCTCATTATGTTGAAGATCTTGGCTGGTGTGTCCTGGCAAGTATCATTGGACATACTCCTGCAAATTAAATCCAAATGTCATGTCAAACATGGAGATTTAAATAACATAAAAGCTAAAAATCACCTAGTCCAATCTCTAGGCATGTTTAAAGATGCAAACCATACAACAAAGAAACAAACCCAGCAGTTTAGCCTCACAATGGAACAAAACAAACCAGACAAACCAAAGGTTGCTAGAATGCTGTGGTTGATGAAGAAAAGCAGTTTTATATCATTATCTGTCATGCACTGGCAGTGCACTCAGTGATATAGCATGATCTCTGCAATAAGGAGCTTATATCCTACATCATCATTGGAATGTCAAAACTAGAGCCGTTAAAAGATAATTGAAGAGAGCTGTATGGCAAAACAGATGTAGTGCTTTACTTACCAAGCTTGTGAAGACCTCACGCTCAACAATATTTCTCTTTGTCTCTGTGTTACGTGATAACGCTTCCACATCTGTGCTTCAAAAACTCCTTTTTTTTAAATTTCACTCATTTTTATTTAAAAAAATTAAAAAGAAGAAAAATACCCCCAAAACAACACAAAACTGAAAACAAAACATTTTGTTTGACCCAAAAAGATTATTTTATTTTGCCAGGAAACCAAAAAAAAAAAAAAAAAAATCAGTTTCATACTGAAACCAACTGATTTTCTTCTTCTGTTCAGACCCAATCTGAGAAATCAGTTATGGAAGTTTGGGAACATAAATCCATAATTCAGCCAGATATTTAAAACCATGGACTGTGGCTTTATGGCTCAGTCATCGTCATCATCATCAAGCATGGGCTCAACAGCCGTTGTCGTCCAATGCCTTCCTCACTATTTCCTTCCATCATTCCCTGTCCAGTGCAGGGTGGCTTAGTTTCTGTAGACTAGCTCTGCACCAATCTACTATATCATCTACCCATTGTCTGTGGGGTTTGCCTCTCCTATTCAGACCATCCATTATGCCGAATACCAGAATCTTAACTTTTCGCTTGTTGTTCATTCTGCAGCTATGCCTGAATAGCTGTAACTTCCATTGTATAACCTTCTGCAGTAGGTTCTCTTTTGCCTGTATCTTCCTATATAACTCCTAGTTGGTGGCCTTCTGCATCCATCTTATTCTCAGGATCTTTCAATAACAACTGCTCTCGAACGCCAATATCATTCTCTTTGAATCTTTTGTTATCACCCATGTCTCACATCCGTACAATATGCTGCTAAATACACACATTTTCAAGATGCTCAGCTTCATTCCTAAGCTAATCGCTTTGCTTTTCCAGATCTTATCCATCGCTTTCAAACTCGCTCTTGCTTTCGCTATTCTAGTTGCTATTTTCTTTCTTGCAGTCCAGCTCATATGTCATGTTGCTCCCCAAATATGTGAACTTCTCTACATTCTCTAGTTTGATCCCATCTATTCTGATCTTCCTTCCTATTTCCTTATCTCCAAATACCACTGTCTTTGTTTTATCAATATTCATAATCAGTCCATACTGCTTCCCTTCCTCATTTAGCACCTACACCGTTCTTGCTAGCTTCTCTTCATCTTCCTCGATAACTATATCATCTGCAAACCTCAGGTTGTTAATTCTGATCCCATGCACCGATATCCCTTTGACCTCTTCCTTGATCTTGTCCATTGCTCTCTCTAGGTACGTGATGAAAATATTTGACGATATCGGATCTCCTTGTCTCGTACCTCTACTCGTTCTAAACCAACTTCCCAACTCTCCACATGTTCTCACCACTGCCTCTGCATTATCGTTGATATACTTCAACAACTGTATCAGTCTACTATCCACTCCATATGACTCCAACACCGCCCAAGTCACTTTCTGATCTATACTGTCAAATGCATTCCGAAAATCGTTGAAGCAATTGTACATGTTCTTGTTCTTTCGCCAAGCTTTCTCCACTATCAGTCTTAGTGCCAATATCTGCTGTATGGTATTTCTATCTTTCCTGAATCGTGCTTGCTCATCTGCTAGATGTTCTTCTATCTATGATCTCAGTCTCTCTGTCAGTATCATCATCATCACCTTGCCTAGATGACTTGTTAAGGCAGTGGTGGTCCACAAACTTTTGGGGCTACCGGGTGCCCGGAAGCTTTCTCCACTATCAGTCTTAGTGCCAATATCTGCTGTATGGTATTTCTATCTTTCCTGAATCGTGCTTGCTCATCTGCTAGATGTTCTTCTATCTATGATCTCAGTCTCTCTGTCAGTATCATCATCATCACCTTGCCTAGATGACTTGTTAAGGCAGTGGTGGTCCACAAACTTTTGGGGCTACCGGGTGCCCGGGGATTAAGGGGGGGAGGCTAGCCGGGCAGCTGCCCCGGGCACCAACCTATGGAGGGCACCTGATGGCAGATGTAAGGGGCGCTGTGCACCCGGCTGCGCGGCGCCCCTTAGAGCTGCCATCAGGTGCCACACGCCAGGGGCTGGGGGCTGTGGGCCGCATAGCGCCCCTTAGAGCTGCCATCAGGCGCCCTCCAAAGGTTGGCACCCCAGGCAGCTAACTGGTTAGCTCCCCCCCTTAATCCGGCCCTATGTGTGGCACATGTGTAGCTGTAAAGTGCGCAGCATGCCGGGGGCAGAGCCGTGCATGCATCGTGCACCCGCTGCCCGGGGTGCAGGAATGGCTTGAGCTGGCCCTTCCGCGCCCAGGGCTTGGGGAGCAAGAATGGCTTGGGCCGGCCCTAGTCACTAGGCGGGCGCACATAAATGCCCCGGCGGATGCCATGGCACCTGCGGGCACTGCGTTGGGGACCACTGTGTTAAGGCAATTCTGTAGTTCTTGCACTCCAACGCACTTCCTTTCTTGGGTATTGTCACTAGCTCAGATCTTGTCCATTCCTTAGGTACCTTCCCTTCTTTCCACACTATATTACAGTCGGTGCATTTCCTGAATCATACTTTCTCCACCATATTTGATCATCTCTCCCGTGATCTTAACAATTAGTACTGCCAGCTATGCCTTAATTGCTCACTTCATTTTAGGTGGCCTCCCACAGAATGTGTGTCATACACATCCCCCTTATATGCAACAACCTGTCCCAGCTTGTATTTAGCACAAATACTCTGATTACTTGTTTGCAGTATACAGTTGCTTTTGCGCAAAAAATTGCCAGCTGTCTACACTGGCCACTTGAATTTGCGCAAGAGCACTGACTTTGTAATGTACAAAATCAGTGCTTCTTGTGCAAATACTTTCATGCTCCCGCTCGGGAAAAAGCACTCTTGCACAAGAATACTTGCGCAAGAGGGCCAGTGTAGACAGGGAAGAACTGTTTTGCGCAAAAAAGCCCCGATGGCTAAAATGGCAATCGGGGATTTCTTGCGCAAAATCGCGTCTAGACTGGCCAAGGATGCTTTTGTGCAAAAGCACTTTTTGCACAAAAGCATCCGTGCCAATCTAGACGCTCTTTTGCGGAAATACTTTTAACCGGAAAATTAAAAGTATTTCCGCAAAATCATGCCAGTCTAGACGTAGTCGTAGCCTTTGAGGTAAATGTTGCTGTTAGCCACACTGTGACAGCCCCTCTCATGTCACTTGGTTTGCACAGGGTGTGACAGAAGAGTTTGCTCCCTCACTCATTTTTCTGCCCAGCTAGACTAACACAATGCTGGGGATTCTATTGTACCTCTGAGAACTGGGATTTTGCACCACTGATTTGAGTTTCTGTAGATATTACAGTGCCCCAGCTACTTTTCCCCACCCATGTGCAGAATGAATTGTGTCATGTGCAGCAATATGGAGATGATGTGTGACACATAACAAAATTCATGTGGTGAGGGCTGGAACAAGGGGTTCAGCCCCTTGGGAGGGGCTTCAGAGTGAGCAGAGGGTTGAGGTGAGGGCTCTGGGGTAGGGCCAGGAATGAGGGGCTCAGGCTAGGGCAGAGAGTCAGGGGTGCAGAAGTTCGGGGTATAGGTGGGGCTACTGCAGGGAGAGGATTCCCCCAGCTCACTCTCTCCACAGCAACACTTGGTTTGTGGGGGGAGAAGAGGCACCTCTCTCTACCAAAGTAGCTCTGGGGCTGGAACCACAGAATAGGCACCTGGCCCCTGGCACCGGAAAGTCTGGGCTGGGGCTGGGTTGAAGCTGGAGAAGGGATGCTCTGTCCGGGCTCCACAGTAGCTTGAGGTATCATGGCAGGTCCAGACCATAGCAGAGCTGGAGTGGGGGAGGGGTGCCTGTCCATGGCAGGTCCAGGCCAGGCTTTGAGTCAACCTTTCCCCAACTGCAGAAGATCCACGGGCAGATTCCCTGAGCATCTGTGTGGTGCTAAACCAGCTGGTCCTCACAGCTTGCAGGGAACTTAGACAATAGATACATTAGGAGGGGAGCGATGGAGACTCTTATTTACCAAAGCAATCTACTTACCAAAAGTAGCCAAGACTGAAGCACAGCCCCACGGCGCAGCCCATGACATACAAAGAGCGCTTTCTAAAACAGTCTTTGACCCATCCTCTTTTCCCTGGAATAAAGGAGACGTGCATGAGACTGGTCCTTTCTGTTCAAAGCAGCATCAATTAGTGGCCAACCCACTTCCTTTAGCCAGGATGTGGAGTAAGGCGAGAGGTGTGGTTATCTATGGTGGTGTAGGCAACACGGGGAGGGGGACTGAATGAGGAGTCACGTGCCCCTCCCCCAATGCTGTGCACAGGAGGGGCTGACCATCAGCCAGTGGGGGAGACTACTGAGGGTATAACCTGGCACCTGCAGCAGGGGTCCATCCCCCAATGGGCCCAGCTCCCTGTGCTCTTCCCAATGCCCGGGGGAGGGGCAGGACCAACCCACACTCAAAGGCAAGAAGCAGAGAAGCCAGGAGAGCAAAGTGAGTTGGGGCCGTTGCTCCTCTTGCCTCACCACTGCAGGTGAGTGCTAGGGGGGAAGGGGGCAGGGACATCCTTGCTACTGGCATTGGCCACCTGACTCCACTCATCCCACATGGGGTGGGGGTGAGGAGAGGGCTGAGCAAAGGCAGGGAGGGACAGGGCCTGAGGCCAAGGGGGGGTTGTCTTATCCCTTCCCCGGGCTGAGGGGAAGTCACGTGCCCAGTGGTCCCTACCACCCCCATTCACCAGTCACCTCTGCATAGCGGAGGGGCAGAGGGAAATTGGTTCACACCTCCCTAATGAGACTCCTTCCAAACATCCAGGTGACTGTAGCCTCAGGAAATAGGCCAGTGCTTCCCAACCTTTTTTATATCAGGGACCGGCAAACTGATTCAAAAACTTTTGGCAGACCAGCACGGAAGTATTTGCATATGGTATTTAATGTATGGTAATTTAATTTATGGTAATTCATTTATTTGCATATTCATTGTGGTGATTAATTTTGAGCGATCACATGTTATTTTACATTGTCTCTGTATGCACACAAAACGTGTCATTGTGTGGATGGGAAGATCAAAATCCTCCATTGTGGTTTTTCACTAATTTTTGGAGGGAGCCAAAGGGGTACAGCAGGCAGGGCAGGAGAAGGGGGGCTGTGGCCAAGAGGAAGAAGGGAGGGAAAGAAAAGGGGGACCAAGCTGGGAGAGGCTGGGCTGAAAATGGTGGGGCCCTGCTCTGCTACATGGCCCAGCCACTCCAGAGCAGCCCCACTCCGCCATTCGGGGTGGGCTCCCCCGCCGCA